TGCCAGGGCGGAGGGGGCGGTGCGCTGGGGTGCTGGGGGGCGACGCATGTCGACACAACGCCGAAATAAAGTCGTCGGGGCGGAGGGGGCAGCGCGCTGGGCTGCTGAGGAGAAAAGGAGAGGGGGGGGGAGCGACGACGACGCCGAAATAAAGTCGTCGGGGCGGAGGGGGCGGTGCGCTGGGGTGCTGGGGAGCGACGCAGAGCGACACATGTCGACACATATCGACATCTAGAGACATGCGTCGACGCACGCACATATCGACGCATAGCGACACACAGCGACACATAGCGACGCACACACATAGACGCATAGCGGCACACAGCGACGCAGACACATATAGCGACACATATAGCGGCACATGACGGGCACAAGGCACACAGCGACAGATATAGCGACACATGAAGGGCACAAGGCAGCTGGGGGGGGAGCGACGACGACGCCGAAATAAAGTGGTCGGAGCATAACAACGCGAATCGGCGACCGAGCGGCCCCCCACGAGAACTTCCGACGGGCGAGTTCATCGACGGCCGACGCGAGGACACGCTGCGTGATGCTTAACCTGCGCCTACCGCCCCAAATGGCCTGGGCCGAGAAGAGGACGCCCTCGTGATAGATGGCCTGGGGGGGGCCCATCTTCTGGCCAACCCTGGAAGAGTAGGGGCGGGGGCCTACTGGGGCCGTCCCCTTGGCAAGGAGTAACAAACCTACAGCTGCTACCCTAAGCCTGCGCAAACCGCTACCCCTGACGCCCGCGACGGAGGCCCCCCAGAGGGCGCAGGCTCGAGGGCCCGCAAATTGAACTCCATGGGCCTGGGCGGGGCCCCGAAGCCGCCGAAGCCGCCAGCTGCGCTTGAGTCCTTTACGGAGGCGAGCTGCAAGGGTTCCTACACGGCGAACTCGCGCACAGGTCGCATCGGACCCCAGGTTCCTGGTCATACTTTGCCACTTGAACCCTGGACGGCCCCAGGCCCCCTGGAGCTTTCCACAGATGGATGGGGCGGAAGCCAGGAAGTGGGACTTCCTGTCAGCCAGGGCCAACTCCAATCTTTATACCCCTGGACCAGTTTCCTTCCGACCGCCCCGAGCTCCTGGGTAATGTGCTTCTCGGTTCCAATACACTGGGCACGCACAGCATCAGCGACATTTCGTAGGTGTACCGCGGGGAGCACTGCGTGCAACTGGCTAAGCAGACGGAAGAGCATGACCTTCGCCAGCGCCGTCGCCAGCGAGCAACCCGCTAAGATGGCGCCGACCGCTCGAAAGATGTCACTGACACTGCTTTAGAAGCGCAACACTCTCGGTCCACAGTGCAGCTGACAGGCCGCATATACCAAGCGCATGGGCATGGCCGTAGCAAAGGACCCTGGGATCAACTGCTTGTGAGTAACCATCTCGATAAACTTAGGAGAGGTTAGTGAACAACGTGCGATTGAGGGAGGAGGATCTGTCAGCCAAGTATGCGTAAGCATTGTGCTCCCACCCCGCTCGCTCACACGTTTTACCTTTCACCCCCCAGAAATCTGGCAATGCACGTTCGGTTTCCCAAGACTTCGCTAAATCCTGGAGGACCCTGGACCAGACTCTCATCAGGCTGCATATCAACGCAAGAGGCCGAAGCCCCTCACCGTGTGCCTTCCCAGTAAAAGCCTATGATACTCTGCCATGCCATTTCTCGGGCAGCTCAGGCCGATCTTCCCAGACGAGGAGGATATCGATGACGCGAAGGAGCAAATAACCGTCAAGCAAGAGCCAGCTGCGAGGGCGAACCCCGTCTACTCCTAGGCCGACGTCGTGGCGAAATCGTTTCAGCGCTTCCTTAATCGGATCAAGCGTGGGCACTGGCACGTTCGCTCTCAAGACAGCCCTCTGCAAACCGGGAGAACTCGTGGATTTCTCGTCACTCCAGAAGTGCTTCCATTCCCTTAACAAATGCTCCACCGCCCGATCCCCTTGGAGAGGGAGGCCGTCATCACCAACGGATTGGGGCAGGGGGGCCTGGTCCTTGGCATACTTGTGTGCTGCTTCCCCCCCATTCGCCACGGCATCGCGGGCCCAGGCCCGCCATTTCTGAAAACGAAGGCGGGCACCTTCGCGAGCAACACGTGTGGCCACTCGATCAATATCTTCGACTGCCTGGTCGAACAGCGCTCCACCAATCGCCGCTACATGCAGCAGCCACGGCACATCTCCCACGGCTGCCAGATCGGGCCCCAAGACCGACGTGTCCAGATTCAGAATCCCCTTGTAGTAGCCATCCAGGGAACCCAAAAAACGGTCGGATTCAGGATGCCTCCAGAGCCCCTGGACCGTGTGGAAGATCGACTGCAGGCCCCTCCAGGCCCTGGCCTTGGGAGAAGCGCCCTCTTCCCAGCGCTGAGCCAGCAGCGTCTGGGGTTGGACCTGCTGTCTGCGAAAACTACCTGCCCTATCACGGTATGGGTCGTCGGTTCCATCAATTAGGTCGAACCCACTGCACAGATCGTCCTCCATATGGACTAACTATTCGCTCCACACGGATTCCAGGGACCGATCTGACAAATCAGCTCCCACATCCCAGGTCCAGGCATGCTGGATAGGCTCCCTCGCAGGGCCCACAAGCGGATTTGTGGGGAAAGCTCTCCAGGTCACCCGAACATTGACAGTGTCACGGAGCGAGAGGCCTCGGAGGGTGAGCTGGACAGGAGTGTGAGGACCGCACGGTGCAGAGTGCAGTGCGGACAGGTCGGCGATGCACGTCTCAAGCCCCCTCGAGAGCACGAAGAAGTCTAGACAGCGCGGCAGTCCACTCCCTCCAGCGAACGTAGCACACGACGGGGCAGCCACGCTCGCTTCTAAAAGTTGGCTCTAGCGAGTGAGGCTCTGGCTGTCGGGTCCCATGTTGAAGTCTCCCCCGATGATCCAGGGGCGCCCGCACCCCTGCAAGTAGGCCCCGGCGCTCTCAAGAAGCAGCAGGTTCCCCCCAGTGCACTCAAGCCCCACATGCCCATAAATGGTGACCCAGACGTCCTCCTCCTCCTCTTCCTCCTCCTCCTCCTCTCCTAACTATGGTGTGGTGGTGGAAAATCGGCCCATCGCTGGCGTCGTGAGCGCCACCACTGTCAAAGCGATCTCCTCGGGAGACAGCATGACTACGGATATGCTCGTGCAGGCCGTCCAGATCATCAGCCACAGGTTCACCCAAAGGGCACGGGAGGCCTTGGGGGGGGGGGTCGATAACGGGCAAGACCACCAAGGGCCCCTCCCCCACGACCTTTCGGGCAGTCGCACCTGTTATCACGTGAGGCAACAGGATTACGAGCAGTTTCCAAGGAAGCAAACATTAAGGAGCACCATGGGCAGGCATTACATTATATAGCTTGTCTGTGTGGTTGTCGCTAGCTATGTACATGACGTGTTGCGGCATACAATTGCGGTATGTGATGGGGCCTGGTATGGACATGATGTACCATCGCCATATATGTTTGATCACACTGATAAACACCAAAGCTTCTTGCTTCAACTTCTGGGGGGTTCCAACGACATGTTCCAACGGCTAATGGAAACCGGGGATGTGGTCCTTCGGGGGGGTTGAAGAGCGGCGACGTGTACCTGATGTCGAAAATTGCGTCCCAACCTCGGTGCCTAAGAGCCTCTTTCATCTGGGGAACGACTTTCCCGAGGTCCTCCAGATCGTAGCATAATCTCCTCAGAAACACGTCGCAAGCCCGTCTTGGACTTCAAGAGTCTGTTAGCTCTTCTTTATCTTCGTTTCTTAACGGGTTGGTGAGGGAAGAGAGGGGTGTAACATGTTTTCGTGGTTAGCGAGTAGTAGACCAGTGCCACTGAGGTGTACGCGAAGGTCGAAATCTGGAGCTCATGTCGCACAATCGTTTTGAACCACGTGCGGGACACTTCCTCTCCGTTGCGCGTGGTCTTGCGACATGTGACATGATGATGATTATGATGATGACGATGATGCTAATGATGATGATGAGGATGATGATGCTAATGATGAGGATGATGATACTGATAATGATAATGATGATGATGATGCTGATGATCATGATGATGGTGATGATGATGATGATGATGATGATGATGATGGTGATGATGATGATGATGATGATGATGATGATGATGATAATGATAATGATGATGATGATGATGATGATGATGATGATGATGATGATCAGGATGATGATGCTGACCATGATGCTGATGCTGATGCTGATGATGATGCTGCTGATGATGCTGATGATGATGACGAGGAGGGAGAGGAAGAGGAAAAGAGACGAGACGAGCCCATGGAATCCGCCCGAGTCAGCTGACGAGCATAATCGCATGGGAATTAGGGAGTGGGCACATTCGGCCCTCACGACATCGACAAAATAAACTCTGCCAGCTGCACATGGTGGTGATCTCTCAGGTCCCAAGATGGTGCACTGGCCTGGAAGAGGGCCCCTCTGCTGACGCTCCCCGCCGCTGCTGCCCGAGCGGCCGCCGCCGGCGCACGACCGCTGCTGCTCTGCGGCGCGGCAGCGCAAGAGGCGCCGCGCTCTCACAGAGTGCGCGGCGGGAAGAAGAGGCAGGAGGGCGGGCGGGGGCCGGATCTACTCTCACATGCATCCCCTACTGGACTGCTCTGCGGAACGCTCTGGGGCCGAGCCGGGCGAGCGGGCTGGAGACTCTGACGTAGCTGCTGAATGTCTCTGACCTCGCGAAAACGTCGGAATCCGAGAACGCCGCGCTGACCATCTGCTCCTGCACCTCCATATTGAAGCCCAGCTCCGCCGAGGTCTCCCGGTCCTCGGCGGCGATCAGGTGGCTCCTGTACTCCCTCGCGTACCTCGCGCAGACGAGGAGGAGGATCGCCTTGCTGCTGGCCAACTTCCTGAACGCTGGGGCGTCGAGGGCGACGCACTCCAGCATCGACGTCGCGACGATGCTGCCGCGAGGCCTCCACTCCAGCCACAGAGCCACCTCGCACAGCCACTTTCCGGCCAAGCGCATGGCGGCCAGGGCCTGACCTCCCCGCCGGACGTAATCCCCGACGCCGCTGCGGACGTGGAAGGCGGCCTCTGACGCCCCGTGGGGTGGTCCGAAGAGCTCCCCGGCCCGCTCGACGGAGAACTCGGACATGGCGTGGTGGCAAAGTTCCTCCGCGAAGCCCTGGTCCAAATGGAGGGCATGGTGCAGGAAATAATGCGTGGCCGCCACCGGGCGGTACATCTCCGCGTGGAGCTCGCGGCGCAGGCCCTCGGGCAGAATGGCGAAGCTGGCCACGTCGCTCTCGAAGGTCCTGCTCTGCCTGTTGAAGTTGCGCTCCTTGAGGAAAATATTGATTCGATTGCCCACGTCGAAGGAGATCTGGTTCTCGATGAAGAAGCGCCTCATGCGCGCATGCTGCTCCAGCTCGGCCCTGCGGGCGTGATGCAGGCGGGCCATAGCCTGCGTGATGCTGCTCACGAACGTAGAAAACCCGACCATGCCTGCGAGGATCACGAGGACCGCACACACCCGCTCCTGGAAATTCTTCGGCTGCACCTCTGCGCTGGCCGGCGTGAACTGGGTGATCCGCCACCGCGCCTCACGGGACGCTGTTGAGTAACGGGGCCCTGGGACACACAAATGGAAAGGCACAAATCCCAGGATTCCCGATATGTTCCCATCTGTTCTGGGTGGCGGGAATGGGAGTGAGTACTAAAATTGAGTTATCCAGGAATACCAATTGAAAAGGAATCCTCAAAATTGGAAGTTATCCATTGAAAACCATTTAAAATGCTAAAATTGAGTCTTAAATGGGAGTTATCCAGGAATGCCTATTCAAATTTTGAGTTTCACAAATCTGTTTCAATTGAGGGCTCCTGTATGCCCTCGGAGCCCGGACCGCAGGCCCCCGCAGGCCGTGGAGGTGGACCAGGCAGAGGAGCTTACGCTGAAGTTCCTGGAGATGTCCCTAGCTGTCTACGGATTGCAAAAAAAAACCTGGATTGCAAAAAAAACAATGATTTTTTCGAAGGATTGCAATCCTTGGTTTTTTTTACAATCCTGGGTTTTTTTGCGACCCCTCGCAGACCTCTTCCTCCATCCTGCTCTACCCACCGGCCCCCCAGCGACGAAGCAGAAGTGTTCACGATAATTCACAATCACGCGAGAGGCCTCACGCATGACGATCGATTTGTGGAGCTATTGCAAGACGGGATCTGCGCTGGGATGTTCTCACAATCAATGAGACCATGCGGCCAGAGGGGACACATATAAGCATGGAGTCGGGATCTTGTTGTAAAACAGATGGTCATCACACGTGTCACGATTTGTTCCTGTGAACGAACGCGTTGCCTACATGGACGTCCATTGCGCACAGCTCCGGGCACGTTTCATTACTGCGTACTCCCCGCACGGGAAATACAGCGACTAGCACGTCCAGGACATTTACGACACATTGACTGACACTGTGAGGGCGGCTAGATCGCGAAGCCTCCACGTGGTGATCGGCTCCGACTGCAACGCGCAAGCAGGACCAGCGGAGGACGACGACAATTCAAAAGTTTATGGGATGCACGCTCACGGACCCGGGAATCATAGAGGCCAGTGGTTGAAGACTTGGGCAAACGCAGAGAACCTTGTATTGACGAACGCGATGTTCAAAAAGCAGCAGTACCTACTACCGACTTACCACGAAGTCCACCAGGACCCCAAGCAGATCGCTTACATTCTGGTTTCCAAAAGATTCTGGAGGACGGTCTTGGATTCAGTCGCGTGCTCGTGCGTTGACCTGGGATCTGATCACACACGGTGCGGCTACGAAAGAACATCTTGGAGTCAGCGCAGAAAGCAGAGAAGCATTCTGACCAGAAGCCCAACACCTGGACATAAATGGTGCCCTCTACGTCAGCATCTCTACACGTCATCAATGGAAAACGCAGAATTCAAGGACCAGTGGTCTTGTTCAGTGCAGGAGAAGTACGACGCGATCGAGAATGCCATTCACCAGTCTATGGCTGAAGCTAGCCGCGACGAAGAGCCACCGGTGGAAGCACAGGAACGAGAATCACGATTGCAAGAGCTTATTCGTCAGCGGAAGGGCCTGGCTGCGGGGAATTGCGGCCAGAGACGGGAATTAAGCATTCAAACCAAACGAGAGGTGAGAACTCAACAGCGATTACGGCGCAAGGAGCGGATCGAACAGATACTTGTAGAGTTCAAGGGCCTCGAGAGCATCACGAAGATCAAAAATGGCAAAAGCAAATGCGTGATCACGAGCATGCGGAAAGACGATGGGAACGTTACATACGACCGACAGGAGATTGCAGATGTGTTCGCCGACTTTTACCAGAAGCTGTATGCGTGCACTCCTGCGTCAGGCGCCCGGGGGAGTGGAGACAGAAGGTCTGATTCTCAGGGGATGCTCGTCCAGCCTTTCACGATGGACGAATTGCAGACAGCACTAAAGCAGCTGAAGAACGGGAAAGCAGCGGACACAGAAGGCATTGCGGCAGAGATGCTCAAACATGGTGGGCGGAGTTTGAATACAGCTCTGTTGGATTTGTACAATTCCGTATTGCAGCCTGGAGCAGTACCTCCAGAGAAATGGAGGCATACCCAAATCCGCGTTATACACAAAGCTGGACCTGAGGGCCTTCCAGGGAATTACAGACCAGTGAGTCTCATCCCATTGCTGTACAACTTGTTTTCCCGATTGCTTCATAACATATTGGAGCCCATACTCGATGCCCGGCAACCGCCCGAGCAAGCTGGATTTCGCAGACATTTCAGCACTGCCGATCATCTGTTCACATTGACAATGGTTCACGAGACTACGCGGGAGTGGCAGATCCCAGTGTGGGCGGCGACGCCGGACCTCAAGAAGGCCCTTCGATACTGTAGCACAATGGTTCCCTATGGGACGCAGTGGCAGCACAGGGCGTTCCCAAGCCGTACATTTCATTGATCGCCAACCTGTACTCCGACCAGACCGCAACCGTCAAGACAGACAGGTTTAGCAGGAAATTCAACATCGAGCGAGGCACAAAGCAGGGCGATCCGCTGAGTTCTTTGTTGTTTGATTGCCTTTCGGAGCATATTTTCAAACAGATTAAGCCCACGTGGGAAATCCAGAAAGTACGGCTTGCCAGTGCGATTTGGAAGCAGTCCTACATTGACAAATTTATGTTTTGCCAATGATGTCATATTGGTTGGGAAATCCCTCACTCAAGTCAAGCGTATATTGTCCAGCGTTTCGGTTGCAGCAGGGGCAGTCGGTCTCCAACTTCACCCGGACAAGACAAAGATATTACACAATGTTCAAGGTCGCACCCCAAGGGAACAACCAGAACACAGAAACGTCGGCGGGATGCACATCGAGATTCTACCGCTCAGTGGAACGCAAAAGTACTTGGGCCGCACATTTACATGTTCTGCCTCAACGGACGTCGAGGTGGATGCGCGCATTAAGGCTGCCTGGGAGAAATTTGGGATGTTCAAACAAGAGCTCACGTCACGCTCCTATTCTCTTCGTCATCGGTTCCGGCTGTTCAACGGTGTCTCCGACATTACTATACGGTTCATCATCGTGGACTTTGACAAAAAGCTTGGAACGGCAAATTCGCAGCACTCAGAGGCGAATGCTTCGTATGATTGTTCGAGTACCGCGACGTCGGACACACAGCTACGCCAGCTCGGAGGAACAACGCCGTGAGCAAGATTATAGCAGTGTGTCTGAGAGAGGAGACGGTCAAAAGGGGAGGGCACGATTACACCACAGATATCGACGACATGGCATCGAGTTCATCATCCAGCTCTAGCAGCACCTCCAGTGATCTCGAGCCCTGGCACGAATGGGTACGGCGAGTTACACGTTACGCCATGCAGCAGATGGAAGCTATGGGGTACCAGGATTGGGTGACACTGCAACGTCGGTGCAAGTGGGACTTGGCACAGCAAGTTGTTATCAAGGACCGACGCACATGGAGTAATGCTGTCCCCCAGTGGGATCCTACTACGCAGCCGTGGCCGGCACAGAGGTTAACCGGAAGACCCAAGCAGAGGTGGGCCGACGATCTTGCAGCGACTGTACGAAACACCACGGCGGTGGCAACGATTGGATGTCTATCGCAGGGAATCCGTCCGAGTGGGATTGGATTGGTAAATTATATGTGTCAGGCGACTAAGTGACCGGCGCCCCGGCGCCTCCTCCCTGCCCCGCGCGTGGCCGCCCTCCGGGGCGAGTTGGGAGCTGCCTGCCTGCCTGCCTGCCCACCACTTCCCATGTTTTCCCATATATTGTTTGGGAGTCAACGATGAATTGTGCCTGTGTTTTTTCGCTCTGGAGGCGTGGTATAATGCCAAGTGCTGCCGAACAAGAAATCTGCACAGTCGGACCTGGACCAAAAAAACATCCATCAAAAACACGAGGCCCTCCGCCGGCCAAAAGGAAGAGCAGTCGAGGGTGATGCATCCCCCCCCCCCTGGATGCGCAAGAACACCCAGCAGGCACGAGGTCCGGCCGCCCTGCGCACGGTGGTTTTCGGGCCATACCTCGGCTGTTAGGCGACCGTTCGGGTCGATTTTGGTACCTCTGGAACGCATTCGGCGATGCGCAGCTGCGTGAGAGCGCCCCGAGGATGCCCCGAGGCTGGGAAGCCGCCGAGAACCGACGAGAGCGCCCGAAGACCTCGAACCCCCCCTCGGTGCGACTGTAATCTTCTACGAGGCCCTGTCCCTCTGCTAACGGACTGCTGCATGCGCACGCACAACACCTCGCCCGAGATTGCCTGGGCGCCCCGTGCCTCCCGGGCACTCCGAGGGTGTCCAACATGCCTCCAAAGTGGCGTCCGGGACGGCCCGGGCAAGCCTCTAGGGCCACCAGGATCGATTAACCAAGAAAGGACTCCTAATCCTTTTGGGGGGGGACCTAAGCCAGGAGGGCAAAAAAACACTAGGAATACGGGGTCGACTTTGCCGAAGTATCAGACCAAACCTCCGAGACCTGGTACCCCCTAACGTGACGACGGGGACCTCCGTGAGGCCACGTCTTCAATATGTTATTAGGGTCTGGGGTTCTTTTATCCTCGATGGGAGATGGCTCAATGTCGGCTCGTCATGGCCCCAGGATGGCCCAAAATGGCCTCACGACGTGCAGCGGCACGCAGTGTATGGCTGTCCCTCCCGGACGCAGGGATGCACATGAATGTGCCGAACTCTCTTTCAGTCTCGAACACTCAGTCTGTGACGCGTCTTGAACGAGTACGTCGACGCACGGGCTCTGTATACTTACCAGTGCAACTGTGGGGCCTGAAGATCTCTAGAGGCCCCTAGAAGAGACAATATAAGTACGAGGTGACAATTTATTATCGTGATGACTTAAAACTGAAACATAAGGCTCTGGATTGCTGTACTCATTCGCGAACGGCAACTATAACACGAATTACATACCTCACGAGCAAAAGACCACATACTCCATGCATCAGCGCAACAGCGGGCAAACGGCAACAGGCTGGCCTAACTGAACAGGTTCAGCTCGCACAAACACATAACCTGATTCCAGAACATCCCAGAATCTTCCATCCAATATACACAACACAAGT